TAAAGAGAGAAAATTTTATTCAAAAGGGAATGGGGGATATATACCCATCCCCTTTTATATATGAATCAACACATGGCTTTCATCATATCACAGTGTGTTGCTTTTAGCGAGTCCCCACTCTCCACCATAGATAGGATGCAGACCATATCCTCCATGAATTGGCGCAACAAAACAAGAGATAAGCTTTGGGTGATGAAAGTTTGGACATTGGCTATTTGTTTCTGTACTTAATTTCTTTTTTTTTTTTCTAAGGATGATCAAGAGAACAGGTCAATAAGTTTATATATTATTGTCGATTTTTGTTGGATGCCCTAACGTTGCTGCAAATATGAAGTAATTTCACCCAAATTGGACATCACCTGCTATCAAATCTACAATCATGACAACAAGTACAAATGAATTGAGTCTTAACAATAATATTCCCTTTATTCAAAGAAAATTCTATGATCAAAAGAGATCATGGTTTTAATGCTTAATTGCATGCATGAATAGCAAAACCAATAAACCAGAGAGTGAATAATGGGCTGAGTTCGCTAATGCTGCTGGACAACTGAATCCCTCTAAAGCAATAAATCCTGGTTTATTCTATGAGATGGATGAGATATGGTTCCTTTGTCATGAGGACTACGAGGGATCAAAATCCATAAACTGCTCCTCTTTGCTTTCTGCATATATATGGCTATGACGCTTTGAAGTCTGAACTACCGACCTATGCAGCTTCTCTTGAAATCAGGCCTAGAACAAACAGCAGGTGTTTTGTGGAGGAGTGTCACTTACGTTGGCCCTTCACCTAATATATCTACAATGTTCCCATTAAGGCTCCCAGAGGATCGAGTGCAAATCACAAACAAGCCCATTACTAGTCTCTACTTCTCTCATGCCTTGGAGAAGAAGAGTTTTGAGGTTGTTGTAAAGACAGGCAAAACCCATGGCAGGTTCGACAATTACACTGCTATATATCAAGCTCACTTGTGCACTCACCACACTGTGGGAAGATTTATGGCCTTGAAGAATTAATGTGAAGTCATCTCATTGATTATGTACTTGTTTTTTTTCTAAGGATTATCAAGAGAACAATTTGATTTGGTTGATTAATTACTAAAGTAAGATCACAAAAATATATATTCATGATAAAATTGGGACTACAAGCCATTTTTGTTCGATTCTCTACTAATTGCAAATTGCTCTATTGAGAGTTGGATATTGACCTATTGAGATTTAAAATGAGTTTAAAAGTAACCAATTATGTGTCTCACCTAAAAAGATGGTAAGAGTAAAAAATGAGATAATACACACGACATCTAGAAGAAGTAATGCATACAACAAATTTTTGGTGATGAAAATTTGGATATTGGTCAATTTGTTTCTGTATTTTTTTTTTCTTATGAGGATGATCAAGAAAATAATTTTTGATTTGGTTGATTACTAAAGTAAGATAGCAGAGATATATCCATTATTGTAGATGGAATTGAGATTGACAAAATTTTCGCTGGATTCTCCACCAAATGCCAATCACCTTATTAGGAGTTCAGATATTCATCTATTAAAATTAAAAACAAGTTTAAAAACAAGTAATTTTGTGTCTCACCTAAAAAGATACCAAAAGAAAAAATGGCACAATACATGCAGCATCTCAAAGATTAAAGTAACGT